AACTTTTGGTGAAAATGAAGGATTTTTTGAAATAGTAGAGGACAAGCAATTTCCTAATAACAGAACCCCTAGGGTTCCTAGGGCCCGAGCTCAGGGCCACCCTGCATAGTGAAACGCTCTGGAGAGCCATAAACATGGGAGATAAGGGGAGATGGGGATCTCCCAAAGACTCATAAAGCATGTTTGATGGCCTTACTGAGTGTATAGGGACAACAACATTATTGCATTAACTTACCCACTGAAACTTCCTGTTAGTAATAGCCCATCACTATTTATTAAATAATCTATGTTTCCCTCAGTGATTTTTTTAGACTATCACCCCTACCATAAATCTGATCTATTTTTCAGTATGTCTCTGACTGCCCATTCCTGACAATCTTTTCTCCCTTGCCTTTTGTGACATTACCTCCTCCTGGGTTCTTCACATCTCTGACTATTCTTTCAAAGTCTCCTAAGCTCCTCCCTGAAACATTGTTCTGCAGGGCTCTCTCCTGGATGCCTGCCCTGGGTGATCTCCTGCATTCTCATGACTTCATTTCTCTGGTGATAACATGCAAATTCTGGGTCAACACCCATGATTGTGCAGGTTGGTCACTGTACAACCGTCCAGGCCAAGGGGGCATGTAGGGGTGAGATCCATTCTGCCTCTGCTTGCCAAGCCACGCACCCACACAGCTCCTCAGATTCCCATCTCTCATCCAGAGGTCCCCTGAGTCACAGACCCATCCATCCAAACATATGCTAGCCATCTCTCCCTGAACGTCCCCCAAGGAACCACACACTGGATCCATCTTCTTTCTTCCAAACCTGTTCCTCCCTCGTGCACCTGTTCTCACTGCATGGCTCTGGCACACAAGGCAGAAAACTCAGAGGAATCTAAGTGTTCTTCTTTCCCTGACCTGCCACATCCTGTGTGACAGATTTACCTCCTCCTCTCCAGTCACAGCCATAGGCGTGGAGCTGACCTCATTACTTCTCTTCTCATTTAGTCTGCCAGGCTCCATGCTTACTGTCTTTCAACCTTTCACTCTGCTGCACAAGTAATCTTGCCACAATATTCTGATCATGTCATGCCACCACTGCACCCTACCATAGCTTTCCACTGCCCACAGGGCAAAGCCCCAACTCCTCAAAGTGCCTCAGGGGGTCTTTAATGGGTCAGACCCCTCACCCCCCTCTCTCACCTCTCTGTTCCTCACCAAATACCTCAGCCTTTCCTTGTTGCGTTGCCTTTGCTCACGCAGTGACCTGAGGGTAGAATCCCTGAGTTGAGGGGCCGCCTCTTCAAAGACTTGTTTGACACCCCAATAAAGTTGATGACTCCCTTCCTTGAGCCCCCCAGAATTCCACGCAAACACCTGCAACGCTTATTAGTTTCTATGTTTCTCTGACTCTATTAGATCTGAGGTCTTTGAAGGCGGAGATGGCCTCTCATTGGAGTTTGTATCCC